GGCCAAGTCGAGCAGCTTTCTGGGGAAGTCATTTTGCACAGCTCTCCCTTGATCCCAGGGTGTTGGGCTGAGGTTTGGGGGCCCAGGTCTGAGCTGTGAGTCACAAGCTGGACCCTGATCTCTCTGGGCCTGGCTTCTCCCTGGAAAACCCATCGGTCCCATCGACCCCCAGGCCTCCTCTATGTCCAACAAGACTCTCCAGCCCCTGAAGCATCACGCCTGGAGCCTAAGGGGTGTTTGAAGGCAAATGAGCCTCCAAAGCCCATGGACCCACACCCAGGTGGGCACCAGGGGCTGGAGCTGGGGGTGGATCCAGTGTCACCACTAAGCCAGAGAAGCCTGAATATCCCCTCAGCATTACACCGGCATCAAGTGGAAACAACCTCATGGATCCTAACTGAGATACTCCAGACTGACGCCCGGGGTCATCACCCAGGTGGTTTACAGGTAGGTGTAGGAGCAACTGCACCAGCTGGGTTTTCCTATATGTTTTACTGGGTGAGCTTTTATAGACAAAGTGAGCACAGCATCTCAGCTCCCAAAAGCCTGTGCTGCAAGATGCAGATCTACTTTGGCTAGTCCATCATGTGCAAATCTCCCCTCTTTCCTCATGAAAAGACAGCCTCCAGGTTGGGTCCCTATGCAACCATAAAATGTCAGTGCCCACTCCAGCGAGGGGTTGCACAGCCTATCCAGTTAAAGCTGAGCGAGCAGCTACAAATTTTGTCAGTGCCTCGACATGGTCAATGACGATGAGGATAAGAATGGGGATGAGGATAAGAATGGGGAGACAGAGGATATGTGATAAGAAAGACATGTGATATAAAGGTATCACAGGCATGGGTGTCAATGGTCTGGGTGTCTTTACGCACAGAAAGTGTCAGGAAAATGCCCAAGAGTAAGAAACTGATTGTGTAAGTAGGCTGTAAGCAGCCTGCAGTAGCATGAGGAGTAGTAAAAATAACGAATATGCAGAAAAGAAAAGGTGTAAAAAGTTTGGAAATGAAAGGTCATTGGACTACTGCATCACTATATCACTAAAGTACTGATCTGCTCGAAGATGCCCCTGAAGGTCCAAGCAAGACCCTGAACTCCCAGAGCAACAAGACGGGGAGCAAGAGCGCTTGTACACATGACGAAGACTCACTTGCAAAGTAACTAGTGCATTTCTGAGTATATGAGTGTGTGCTGACTGCTGAATAAACCACCAACAGGGGAGGGGGAACTCCTGTCCCTTGAGCAGTCTTGGTCTCAACAAAGCACTGGTTCCCCAATCCGAGAGTTTGGGGTAACACCCAGAGAAGTGGCTTTCAACCTTTTTTTCATCTGCAGACCCCTTTGAATTGTAAGCGGGGGTATTCATGCACTTTTGACTGATGATCGTCATTGTTTGTGGACCCCTTAGGCATAGTCTGTGGACCCCCCAGGGGCCCGTGGACCACAGGATGAATGCCACTGACCTAGACCCAGCCTTCCCCCCCAAGTGTTTGTATCATGGAGCAGGAATGACGATGAGCTAGTGCTGCGGGTAGCATCTCCCTCCCAGCTCTGCAGGGAAATTGTGCATGCCAGGCATGGAGCCGACCTACCCTCGCCTCCCTCTGCTTGTGACAAGAGGCCGTCCTGGGTGCGGGCCCTGCTGTATTCGGTGCCCCAGAGGACAGGGCTGGAGAGCCCGGTGGCAATGAGAAAGGGAGAAGCAATAACAAGACATACCGCTGCTGGCATCTCCCAACCTGCTGGCATCACGAGCCCAGTTCCCCTGGGAGACGGGTGCCAAGGTGGTCATTTATCAGTGTCCGGCTGCAGCAGAGGACGAGGGGGAGGTCACCGGGATGGTGCGTGCTCCGGCACAGACTGAGACGAGGCAAGGCATGAGGGGGCACGCAGGCCAGGCTGCAATGCAGCCCTGCTGGGCTCAGCCACTGCAGACAGGGGCATAGAGAGGAGGAAGAGAGGTGCCCCCCAGCAGGGCACACCCCCTCACAGCAGGGGGTACACCCCCAGCACTGGGAGAGGTGTGCCCCTCTCCCCCACTCCCAGGAACTGAACCAAGATTTTGCCCCATCTCCGCAGACATCTCTATGCCCTGTGGGTGCCTTTCCTATTCCACCCTTGTGCTGGCAGCAGGAGGATGGTGGCTCAGTCCCTCTGACTGATCTCTGCCTGCTGTCACGGGCCCAAGGGGGCTTTATGTTGGGGGCTGGGAGGTCCAGGACTGGCAGAGTGCAAAGGCCACCTGCATATGCATGCACGCACATACCTGAGCTGTGCTTTCCGGTCTTCAAGCATAGTGGAGGCTCTTGATCTCACTACAGGTCAACTGCAAGGCTCCATGCCACAAAGACTATCCCCATGCGTGGGAGCAGCTGTGCACACCTCACACAGGCTCTGCATGCCTCAGTTTCCCCCTTCTGGAGGGGAATACCTTTCCAGAAGCCTGCTGGGAGGTGCAGAGAACAGCCCATGCTCCTAACACCCCAAATGCTACACAGGGTTAGGAAGCACTTGGGGTGGAAGGAAACCAGATGACCCTTCCCTGGGAGGCTGGAAGTGGGGAGCACTGGGAGCTGCTAGGGCCAGACTCAGGACTGCGTTATGACCCTGGAGTCACTCCACTGGTGTCTTGGAGGCAGATACGGTCCAATCAGTGGCTGCAAATAGGTTGGATAGGGCAGAAACTCCTTGAGGGCAGATTACATTGAGGCAATACGGGATTCCTGCGTTCGTGCTGGCTGCTGCATGGACACAGCATAAGGGACAGCCCAAATCCCGCAGAGCTCAGAGTCCAAATCAGCAGGAAGGAAGGATCATCGTCCTGACTGCACAGATAGGGAAACTAAGGCACAGGGAGAGTAAGCATGTATCCGTCCCAGCAGTGAGCTCAAGTCAGCCAAGCCGAGGCTGAGAGCTAGATGTGCATTAAAAGCCCTGTGTCCTCACTGGTCGTGCAAATGCACATCGGACACTGGCTTTGCCAGCAGTCAACCAGGGGTCTTTGGCTGAAGCAATGGGAGTCGCTGTAGGAACTGCTTTGGGGTGGACTGTGGGCGACTTCATCTGCCCCTGCCGGTCTGGGTGGACCCCGGTCCAGCAGGGATTTTAGCCTAGAGTCGCATTTAGCTTAATGTGACTGGTCTTTATGGGAGAGTCCAAAAGGAAGCAGACAAGGACACTGGAAATCACAGGAGCCTTCAGTTCAGGTGTGCAATGAGAGGAAGACCATCACGGATGCTAACGAGAGATACCGACTCTTTGGTCTGATGTGACCAAGTGAGCTCCCCTCTGCCAGCACTGGGTTCCTCCTGAGCACCAGATCTCGATCTTTGCCACATGTGATCACAGGAGGGCACTGGAGTCAAGGGACTTCTGCCAGGGATCAGTTTGAACCAAGCCTTGTCTGGGATGATGTAGTTGGGGCTGGTCCTGCTTGGAGCAGGGCGTTGGACTAGATGTGACCTCCTGAGGTCCCTTCCAAACCTCTCTTTTGGTTGCCCAGATGAGATTTCAGTAGCCTCTGAACTGGGCCAGCTCTGTTTTATTAACTGTGTTTTATTAAACGTATCTTACTGGGATGGCTTTTACTGATGAAGGGAGCACAGCATCTGATAACCCTCATTTTCTATGAGCCTATGAAGTCAGCTTCAGCTCCCAAAAGCTTGTGCTACATCTGTATATCTACTTTGGTTAGTTTATAGTGTGCAAATCTACCCTGCCTTCTACCAGCTGTTAGTGCTCAGACCTAATGAACAATGTCTTGCATTTGACAGCTGGCCTAACTCCATCTCAACTCTGCAGTTGATCCAATAAAAGGTATCACCCTTATAAATCCTTGCCTCTTGCATAAATCCTGGACCACCATGGCTCCAGCATCTCCCTGATTATTACTATTACTAAATCCAGTCTGACTTGCTGGATGCTGCATTCAGCATAAGGCCTGAGAAACTGTCTTGGGGGGCAGGATACCTGTCCTTCCACCTTTCTATCCATCCACATTGGGGTTTTTTTATTCCTGCCTGTCCCTATAGCAGCAATCACAAAGTCCCCGGTGCAGTTCACGGAGGCTCTGATGCAGGCTGTTGCGGGGGCAAAGGGCCTGCGAGCTTTTCTGGTGTTATTAACCTCTTATTTGGGTCTGCTGGGGAGAATTGATGGGGCTGAGGTGGGAGAAGGAGCTCTCCTTGCCTTGTTTAGTGGCAGCGCAGATACCAAGACCAAGCCCACTGCCGGGAGTTAAGCCCATTCCCAAATCTCTTTGCAGGGTTTGGTTTCAGTCCCAGGGCAGAAATACTAATTTCCGTGTAAGGCTGCATAGCACCATCTTCAGGCCCAAAACAGCACGCCGGGAAGCCAACCCTTTCCTCCCGGCTCCTGCCATGCAGACTTCCCGCTTCCCATCTAGAAAGGGAGCAGAGATGGGCGAATGTGTAGGGAGTTGAGGTAAAACACTGAAGGAAAACGGATGTGAGACACAGCCAGGCTGCTTCACCCCCATCTGTCACAACCGGTGATGGTCCGTGCCGATCGGACTGGAGTAACTCACCCACCCCATCAACGCCCCCGGTAGCATCTAACCCCAAGGAACAGAAAAGAGGGACAAGGCTCAGGTTAAAAATGTCCAAAGCATCTGCTTCACTTTTAACTACCACTGCAAGAAAGGCTTGCTCAACTTCCTTGCCTCTAAAAAGAGACAGCAACTGGCACTCCCATCACCCTGGCTGCCTTATCGAGTGTTTATTAAAGACCCCTGGGCCAAGTCATTCCTTATACAAGCAAAGCTAAAGACCGCGGCAATATGGAAGTCATAAAACACACAGCAATAAAGCGATATACATTATGAGTTGCACTGGGTCTAGATAAGGGCTTTGCAAAAGGCCCAATGATACTGCATCTTCCCTTGTATAGTTCAGGGACTAAATCCAGCCTCTTTCCTAGTGTTCACTTTTAACATCCAATAACTTAAAAACCACACAGGTGACATACTGAGAGAGCCGAACTAATCGTTAAAAGCAATATTCATTTCAATTCCTGGGTTCAGGAATTGGTCGCATGGGCTCTGTGCATTCGACAGGCAAGCCGAAGACACAGTGTCTGCCTCTTGGGGCGTTCACACACTATTTGCGGCAGCACTTACTGATGGGGTGCCGTCGGTTATCCCACCATTTCTGTTCCCTGACTACCCAGGTGAAGCCTTTTTTTGTATGAACAGGACAGGAGGATGCAATTCTGGCTGGGATCTTCAGAGGCAGAACTGTTCCTGAAGGTTTTTGGGGAGGGACGCATCTCCCACCATTGCCCGAACATGCCGGTATAACCGGTAACCCCACCTCGCCCGTCCTGAGCAAACCACCACGCTGGCTGCACGTGGAAAAATTGTCATGGCTCAGTATCTCCCCTGCACCCACGGTCTGAGCAGCTTTCAATTGGGAATGATGTAGAGAATGAGAAGACAAAGAAAAATAGCAGCAAAAAACCAGCAACCCACTGTCAAGCAGCAAATGAGGCATTTGGATTCAAAATCTTTGCCTGAATTCTGATCTGGCACCCTTGTCCGGTGGGGTACGCGGGGTCTGGAGGGCCGGACAAGGCGCTGCGATTCATAATCTTTGTAAAAACTCTGATTCAGAAGCTTTGCCTGGTGGGGTACGCTGGGTCTGGAGGGCTCAATGGATGGCACTGGCATTTGGGGTGCCCAGGAAACCACCGGGTGCTTGTGCCTCCCATGTTGCGCTGGTCCTTGAGTCTTCCTGTGTATTCCCAGGTGACAAGCCTCACAGTTGTCTCTCCTATGTGGCCCGCCGTGCCTGCCAATCACCACTTCCAACAGCTGGCTATGATCCACAGACTCTCCATAGCATTTCTCCCGAATGCTCATCACCAGCTTCTCCAAGACCGTGTCGACACCCTCCGCCTTGAATACTGGCTTGCTGAAGTCACACCAAGAGCACTGGTTGCATTTCTGTCCAAAGACCCTCATCTTCACCGAGCCTTGTCTCCTGGACCCGTCCAAGCACATGTGGAACAGGATGATCACTTGCACCGACGACCAGGCGTGCCCACACCCCGAGCACTGGAACCTAAAAGGATGAAGGAAGCAGAGAGTGAAAGCAGACCTCCTAGAGACGTGGGGCCCTCCAGAAGCCACATCTAGTCCTTCCCCCTGCCTAAGGCAGGACCAGCCCTGTGCAAACCATCCTGTATAAATCTATCCTCCAGACTCTTCATAAGACTAGGGAGAGTTTAGCAGATACATGTATAATCTATACAGATCAATCCTGACACAACGCAAGATAGTGCACTTGAACCTGTCTCCTTGAACCAGCTAATGTTGCTATATAAGGCTGTTAAAATACACTCAAGCAATCCCAGGTACAGGCCGGGCCCCTGCTACACAGGACAAAACCTACCAGCATGTACCAGTCTGTCCAGGGAGGTACAATTCCTTCATGACCCTGAACGGGGCATTAGTTCGACCCTGTGTGGAGGGGCAAGACCCTCTAGCCAGGACCCTCCAGCTTGGGTCCCAGCAGGAGCATCGGCACAGCCCGATCCTCATCCCCAGCCTGGGTTGCAGCCAGCACCTGATGCTTTCAAGGAAGGATTAAACCCCCCTGGCACAGCAGCAATGCCTGCCCCAGACTGAGAGCAAGCTGAAAAAGTGTGGCCCTGCTCACATCCAGCATACAGACACAAATGCTCCCAGTGCTGGGTTCACCCTTTCCTGGTTTCACTTCTAATGGAGGCCAGCGTAGTTATGTCCAGCGTAGTTATGCTGAAAAGCAAGGCACTCTCCTCCCTCACGTCCCCCCAGGACATTTCCAAACAGGCATACCCTTAGGATAGCACTGGCTGGCCATGCGTTCAAAGTGCATCTCTTCTCAGCTGCTCTGATCCCACCTCTTACTCAACACCGCAGTCTTCACCACTCAGGAGGATTCTCCCTTTGGCAGGACGACTCCTCCTCCTGTACCTCTGTATGCCCCTAGCCTAGCTGTGCACCTTTCTCGACTCAAGGCCCCTCACTAAACTCCAGGCCCCCTTGGAAAACACCAGCTCTTCGTTCTGACTCTCAGAAAAAGGGAGCAGTTTCCCCATTGCAGAGAACTCAGAAAGCCTATTTGAAATCCCTACTTGAGATTGCTGGGTTTATCTTGTGCATGGTGTTTGCACACTTCACTGGGATGACATTATGCAACACCCTTGAAAGGATCTCAAGGCACCCCTGGGTGCTGTGGCACCCTGGTTGAGAATCACTGGACCGGCCACTCCTTGCCTCCCATCAACCCCCCTGCCAAAGCCAATGAGCCAGGACCTGGATTACAAGGAGCTGGCTAACACGCAGCTCTGAACGAGGGGGTCTGGGCTCCGGAGAGCAGGCAGGAGCTCAGAGCCCACATTTCCTGGTGAGGCTGAAGTTGGTTCCTGATTCCTTAGTCCTTATCCCCAGTTCTTTATTCCTTATTCCCAGCTCCCGGTCCCTTTTTCAAAGCTAATCTAGACCCCATAAAAACTTGTTATTAATGAATTATACATCCTAAAGAGAGAGATTTTCATTAGCTACGCATATGGACTAATTAATATGTACAATAATATTCCATATCAAGTACAGAGCCCTAAACATAGGTCAGATTAGGATGGATTATGGGGCAAAATACTTCCTGGGCCACCCCAAATTTCATGGCAATGCCACTGAAGGACTCTCCTAAAGAACCCTGACCATGGTCCTGCCCGACCCAAAGCACGGTTTGGCCATGCCAAGCTGCCAACTAACAGCCCTTGTGCCCACTGTACTAAGTATAATGGCTTGAATAAGCAACTGCTTTTTGGGCTGGGATTATGACTAGAAATTCTGCTTGGGCCACCCATCAGAATAGCTCTGTGCCACTGGGGCACTGTCCTGGACATCTGTGACCAGAGACTTACCTGGCCCAAAACATGGTTTAGTATCTGGACCCGAATAAGGAACTGTGCTAAGTATCTGGACCTGAATAAGGAACTGGAATTTGGAACGGGATTATGGCTAGAAATCCTTCTTGGGCTCCCCCAGGACATGGGATCCACCGGTGTCACAAAGGCATGGTGCGGGTTGGCCAAGAAGGATTTCCATTTCTAATCCCAGCCCAAAAAGAGTTTCCTATGCAAGCCATTGTCCTTAATACAGTCGCTGGGATGTGGGGGGAGGCGTGCTCTGAGTTGACAGCGTGGCAGAGCCAAACTGTGCTTTGGGCCGGGCAAGTCTCTTGTCAGAGATGTTCAGGCATATACTCGGCCATAGGGTATAATGGGGAATCAATGAAATATCTATAACTCTGTTTTTTGTCTGATTTGGATGAAACTTGCTGGGATGGTAGCGTCTGCCGAGAGCATGAAGCCTGCCAAGTTTCAAGAAGATCAGTGCAGAGTTTTGAGGGGAACTGAACCCCAACTTCTTGAAAGCAAAACTCATGTTACGTATAGGTGTCACAACACAGGGGGGTGAAAACTGCAGGGGTGGTGGCTCCTGGTGCGGCCACGAAGCCTGCCAAGTTTCAGGGAGATAGGTGCAGGGGTTTGGGGGAAACTGCACCTCAAGGTGCAGACAAGCAAAACTCGTGCCACGGGTGACCCTGTGTGTTAAGGCGCAGCGGGGTGACAGCTGCAGGGATGGTAGCCCCTGCTGCGGCCATGATGCCTGCCAGCTGTTGAGGAGATCGGAGTAGGGGGGTTCTGGGGCCCTGCACCCCTAGCTGCTGACAGGCAAAACTTGTGACATGGGTACTTGTGTGACTGACTGTCTCTGTCTTGGGGGACACTACTGCAGGCCTGGCTGCTAAACTACTGTGTTACCAGTTACCAACCAATCATGATTCACTCAGGGACCAGCTCAATACACAGGACCTAGCTACTACATAACAAGTTAACGAGCATGGATTAACACCTACAAAACCACAGACTAAGGAGAGGAAATAATCAATACAGACAATCAACTACCCCAAGACAGACACAGTTGCACAAGCACCCATGCCACGAGCTGTGCCTGTCAGCAGCTCAGGATGCAGGACCCCAGAACCCAGAAGCCCTGCACTGCTGTTGTCAGCCTGGCACAGTCAAACCATGCTTTGGGCCAGGCAAGTCCCTGGTCAGAGATGTCCAGGACCTCAGGCTCATGTTTTGGGGTGGCCCAAGAAGGATTTTCTAGCTGTCATCCCATTCCAAATTCCAGTTCCTTATTCGGGTCCATATATTTAGCACAGTGGCAAGGGGGGAGTCAGTTGGCAGCCTGGTACGGCCAAACCACATTTTGGCCCAGGCAAGTCTCTGGTCAGAGATGTCAAGGAGAGTTCCCTGGGGCCACAGAGGTGCAATCTGAGGTGGCCCAAGAAGGATTTCTGGGTATAATCCCTCACCCTGCTTCTCTCTGACTCTCCCAGCCCCACAGCTGGTGCCCCAACCCCTGGGCTGTGCCAAGGGGCACCACACTACAAAGCCAGGGCAGAAAAGGGGTGAGCCTGGCACTGCTTAAGTGACCAGAAATAATTCAAAGGGCAAGAGAGCCAGAGACAGGGAAACACAAATTAACAAGCCTAGGAGCAGTGACACTTAAACTTTTTGGACTCAAGATGCCTCTCCCTGGACTCGAGGCACCCCCTGTAACTTCTGTGAATTGAGGGGCACCCCATTTCCCAGGGGCTGGGCAGTGGGGGTGGAGGGATCATCTGCTTAGCTTAGCTGCTGATTTCCTCACACCTTGCAGCACCCTTGAAAGGATCTGGCAGCACCCCGGGGTGCCCCAATGCCCTGATCCGGAGCAAAAACAGCAGCATTTCAGGATGTGAGGGTGGGGTGGGGCTGCAGTGGCCACAAGCAAGGAATTGTCTTTGCAAGCGGGGGCTTCAGAGGCACCCTCCCATCCAGGCACACTGCCCTGCACACTCACACCTGTGCACACAACACCTTCCCCTGCCAACACCAAGGAGATTGGCAGCCTGTCTTCCCACCTGGCATGCGCGTGCTCCTCCACGGACTGCACCCAACCAGGAGTCAGGTTGTCGTAACAAAGGTCCTAGTGCATCTTCAGGTCCCACTGGTCTCTTAGACTGGCCTTGTCGATCTTCTCCCAAAATAGCTTTCTCCAAGAATCCATGCTCAGCTCCCTCATCTTCTCCTTGGTTTGGACTCTCACCCTCCAAGCAGGTGAAATCACAGGCTGAGCTTGGGACCGCTCACTGGCAGCTCCCTGGGAGACAGGTAGGACCCCCTTGCTCCCGTTTCTCTCTCTCCTGCCTCCACGAACCAGTCCTGGGCTGGCCCCTGCTCTGTGCCTCTGAGAAATGAAACCAAAAGGAGATCTCGTTTTGTCCCTGAAGCCAGACAGGATGCAGGGTTTTAAATCTTACATTGACAGCAACACGGGAGGGACCAGACAAATGACGTTTGCACAGGGCAGTGATACTCAGCCAGGGTGCAACCATGCCTTTGGGGTGTCATGAGATCCTTTCAAGGGTGCTGCGGGATGCCACATTATGTTAGCCCCGTCACAATGCACGACATAAACCCAAAGATTTCACATCGGAAACCAGAGTGTTAAAAAAAAGGCAAAAGCCTCCTGCTCTGCTGCAGACTGGCTGAGTTCTTTGCAGCAGAAAAATAGCTCTAGGATCTTTCCCTAGTCCAAAAAGAAGGAGTGAAAGCAAAGATCTGGTGTTTTCAATCTAAAAAAGTTTGGGAACCGCTAGAGGAGGGGGTGCAGTGAGGTGGCTCGAGGCGGGTGGGCTTTGCCACTGGCCGTATTTCACCTCCCCGGGTTTGGTGGGCTGGTCCTGGGGGTTTGGCCCACAGCTCAGCTATGCCAGCAGCCAGAGCTCCTCCAGCGGCTCCTCCTCCCCGACCTCCCGGGAGCTGCCTGCTTGGAGCTGCAGCATTTTGCACAGCCCATGGCTGCTAACAGTGCTGAGGGGAGGGGGTCCTACTCTGTTGAGCCAAGAGACTCATGAAGCATCCTGATCTTGCCCATCGCAGCCTCAGTGCCTATTCCAAGACCTTGCTTAATAGGAAGTTAACCCTTCGGGAACATGCTGTCCTGGACCTGTGCTGGTCGGGGCATAACCACATGCTTGGGGGGCTAGGGGACGTGATACCCCCTGCAGGGATCCTTCCCCAGTAGAGTGCAACGGTTATCAGCAAGCCCCTGGGCCAGTAGCTCTGGCTGCAGGCTCCTGCTTTTAGGGTGCACTGTAATATGGATCACCAGCACAGGTCAGAGGTCTTAGGTCCTTAGCGGCACTGGGGTGCCAGCAATATCCCATCCAAGGGATGCATCCTGAAAACCTGGCATCTCCATCTCCTTCCAGGCTCTCAGGAATGCCAGCGCTCCCCACACAGTTGCAATGACACCAGGCATCTTTCTGTGTTGATAAAGGCCTGGGCATCTGTGCTTTGGAGCGAGCAAACGCCTGCCTCCACAAAAGCTGTTGTAGTCCTTGCTAGAACATGGATTAACGCAACCACTGATCAGTGCATAGAAACCATCCAGAGGCCTATTAATGGTACAAACTGAAGTGGGCCTCTGCGACAGCACGAGCAATCAACCTTGATGACCAGAAAGCAAACCATATATAGCCTAAGCAGAAAGGTAGGAGTATTAGCTGGGAAAGGTAGGAGTATTAGCTTCTGGACCCCCCCAGAAGGCCAATGGATGGAAAACGCTGGATAAGATGGGCACAAGACACTGAAACAGCTGTGTCAAATGGGTCCCCCTATCTCGTGGGAAGGCCTCAAGGTCTGGGGAGAACGGGACCTGAACGATGGCACCTGCAAATGTCTTAGTAGTTGGTGAGAACGCGGATGTCAAAAACATGAAGTTATCCTGATCGGTGTATAAAATGGGGCCTGGGAACCCTGGATACTTTGCACTGAGGTAAGGGCTGTGCTCTATGGGGAGGTCTTGTGTGCAGATAACCTGGCACCGTGCCCGAATGGGGCACAGATGTTCGGGAGTGCTCGAGGTCTGTGAGCAACAAGCCTGGCAGAGTCCTTTGTTACCAAGAAGTGGAGCCCACAGTCTCTTTCTGATAAGCAACAAGGTGGTTAGGAGAGGCGGTGTTGTATCACCGGCAGGATCATGACCACACACACACAGACCATCCAAACTGGGGAAGCCCGATGTGGCTGGTGCTGCTTCACCGCCTCGGAGGAAGTCTGACCGCTATCTGCTCGGGAGCCCCCATAGCCGCTCACTGTGGGTGCACCACTTGCTTTCTCTTCACATAAGTTATGCAATGACTAACACACTAGATGAGACGAGCCCACGCAGGGGCCATTTTGAGTGAACTGTGATGAACAGTTGCGGGGGACCACACCAATGCAGACCAACAACCCCAGGTACAGAGCACGGTCACACACATGACTCAGCGTTTCACTGTTTCCTGCTGATTAGACCAAGAGAAAGTTACTCAAGAGACAGGTGGAAACAAAGAAAAACCTGAATCTGAAGCATATAAAATCCTAGCTTGCTGAAGCAGGCATGCAAAGGCTGGGATTAGCCTTGACAAGGAGCACAGACACTGGGGTGCCTGAGGCCACACACCCTGGTAGGGGCCTGACTGTTTATTCTCTGCTGTATGTCGCTGCAACTGGGAATTTTGCCTGATTTTTAATATCCCAATAACCCGGAGGGGAGTTCGGAAGCATTCGCATCGGCTTGTCCCATGCCAAATTAGCAAAAGACCCTCAGAGTAACCCTGGGTGAAACCTCCGAGACTGGAATGACCCCGCGGAGATGGAGCTTGCATTTTCAACAGGGATGCTTCATTGAAGGGATAGAAAAAGATAGGAGCAAAATATCGCTCTGTTAACATGCAGGGACACTCCAGGACAGAGGGAAAAGAGGCCATTTAACACAGAGGCTTCTGCTGAGAGCTGCAGCACATGGAAGAGGGGCAGATTTTTTGCAGGGATATAGTCAGAGTTTCCCTTGGAAAGTACAAAGGAAGGAAATGGCTCTCATCCACATGCTGCTCTGCCCAGAGCTCCTTCAGCTGGAGAGAAAAGCACTACTCACGATGGTGCGACTGATGGACAAACCCTCGTTTTCTAACCTGTAAAGACATGTGCAGCTTCCCCCTTCAACACCTTCCAGCCGGGGCAGTAGAGGGTGGCCCAGCAGCCTCCCCTCAAACCAACATGCCCATCACTACAGCAGAGAGAATAATTTGTGCAGAAGCATTTATTGCAGAACCTTCACCCCAGTTCCTGTTACCAAACAACCTGGAAGTGGTTTCCAACTGTCTTGAGAGACAGATTAATTCATGTTATTGGAGGGGTCATTTTTTAGCCTCTGTCCTCTGAGAACTGGGGTCAGGGTTGTCTGGGTGCTCAGGTCACACAGCATAGCTCCATCCCCTGACAAGAGGAGCATAACTCTTAGGGCTCTTCTCCACATGCAAATTAAACTGGGATAGTCACCAGCTATAAAGTTGTTACTCATTTTCAAGCACTAACTTTGTAGCTGGTTGGCCATTTTTAGAGCTGCATGGCTATTTTTATGGTTTGATCACTGCTTTGCAAGTGTGGCTGGTCTAAATGTACTGTGCCATTAATCAGTTAATTGTGTAATTGCAAATGTGGCTGGTTTCAATTTATTGTGCAGTCGCCCTGTTAACTGTGTCATATATGTAATGTGTCACAGGGGGATTAGTGGGAGGTGCTTGAGGTGAGCACTTTTGGATCTGAAACACACTCGTGTCAGAGGCACCTTGGGAACCGTTGTCTGCCTTGGCCCGCACTCCGGCTAGCCTTCTCCCTAGCTGAACCACCCCCAGAAACCAAACACGGCCGAAGGGCACATGTCTCACTACCACATCCTGTTCAAACCAGAACATGGTTTTCACCTCGGGGAGAGGAATGCAATTATCCCCAGGGACAAAGGATGCAATATCTCCAGAGGTACGACATGCAATTATCTCCAGGGGCATGGAGTACAATATCTCCAGAAGCATGGCATGCAATTATCTCCAGGGGCATGGGGTGCAATATCTCCAAGGGTATGGAATGCAATTATTTCCAGGGACACAGGGTGCAATATCTCCAGAGGTATGGCATGCAATTATCTCCAGGGGCATGGGGTGCAATATTTCCAGGGCTATGGGATGCAATTATTTCCAGGAGTACGGGGTGCAATATCTCCAGGAGTACAGGATGCAATATCCCCAAGGGCATGGGAAGCAATATCCCCAGGGGTACGGGATGCAATTATTTCCAGGGGTACGGGGTGCAATATCTCCAGGAGTATGGGGTTCAATTATCTCCAGGGGTATGTGGTACAATATCTCCAAGGGTACAGTTTGTTTGACTGCCAGGGAACACGAACAGGAGGCAAATGGTTGCACCACATGGGAAAGTTGGCACAGAGACACGACCATGTTCGTGGATGGAAACCGGGCCACCGAACCCACCTGGCAGCACAATAAAAATAGAGATTGGCTCAGAGATAGCTCAGTCAAAGCCTCCCCCACACGCTCCCTACTTCATCTTCCCCTGAGGACATTGTCACCCTGGGGCCTCGTTCACTGCCCGGTTTGTCTCTCTCCCAGAGCTCCATGTTCACTCTCTTTGGAGCCTCTCTGGGACACGGGTTGCGCTGCTGAGCCGGGAAAGGCAGCGTTCGCTTGACAATGACCTCCACTTGCAGCCCCGGGCACAGCCCTTGGCAGGCTCGGCAGGGTTTTTTGCCTGTCCTCACAGGTCTTTGAGGTTGCAACTGCAAGAGCCAGGAAATGGAAAGGAGGTCAGGGCTGGTGAAAAATGAAAGGGAAAGGGAAATGCACAGCTGTCCCTGCCCACTCCCCACCCTCTCCCAGGGACTAGGACACTGAGTTTATTCAGAGAATAGAAACAGCCAGACCTGGCCAGGGTGCACCCCACACCTTCAGTATTGCCAGCCCCGCCATGTGAAAAATCATGAGG